CTGAGAGACTTGTGGGGAAGAAATGTGCATAGGAATTGTATAATAACTGTGGGTGGAGGAGAAAAAGAGTATTCTCAGCTAACTGTGGCTCTTATGTGCTATTCCTCTCTTCAGTTCATCCTCAGATAGTCACTTAATCAAAAACTTAAAATGCCACATTCTCACTCTTTCTGCATTATGACATCATGGGATGTCATTGGGAAAATAAGACCTAAACATTTTAATTTTGAAGTATTTTTTAAAATATAATAGATAGCTGGGCCTTAGAACAAACTTTATGAATATGTAAGCAATGCTTTTTGAATTTTATTGTAATTTTACTTGCTCTTAAATTGTTTTCAGAAGGCTCTTTGTCAGATATATCTATTTGAATTAACTACCCAATAAAGCGACTTTTAAATATTGCAAAAAGATGTAAATGGGTATTACTTTATGAACTTACTCTAGAAATTTTAGACCATTAAATAAGATATGTATCACTTTCTAGCAAAAATTTTAAAATCTGCAGAATTCCAAGTGAAAAATAGAAATCACTGATTATCAAATTGTTTAACATATGCAGGCCAACAAAAGAAAGTTAGAATCAAGGTTCTGCAAATAGAGGAAGGCAGAAATTGCTGCACTGGATCAGGCCTGTTGAATGATCTTTATATATAACTTTTCCTTTCACTGTGTAAAATTAATGTTATTTCTAGAAACAGAAAAGCTTATACTGCTATTGTTTCTAATCCTCTAATACACAGATAAATCCTTGTACCTATAGGTACATAAACCACAAAACCTGCTAAGACTTGTGAAATTCAGTGTTGCAATTTGTTTGTTCAGGAACTAATTTTTTGTCTGCTTAGTAGTACATTTTCTCTGTGTATCCTCTTACAGGTGTTCTTTTGAGAGTGAATTTGGTTTTGTTTATATTGTAATATTGTTTATATTGTAATAGGAAAAGGGTGATGTTTCTTACAATACTGTCATGCTGCTTTTTTTTTTTATGCCTCAGTGCTGTGTTGTCTTGCATTAAGGGAGTTCAAATGTTGCATTTTATTTGTATGAAATCTCCCCTCTGTCTACACTATTCTCTACTCTGAGCTCTCATGTTTTTGGAGTGTTTTGGAGGGGGATTGAGTAGACACTGTTCTAAGAGAGGGCATAACTGTAGATCTGCAGACTTTTCAGTATTTCTTTTCAGCATAACTTATTTTTTCTTGGTGGTTTTATTTTGGGGTGTTATGGTTTTTTGGGGTTGTTTGTTTGTTTGTTTGTTTTAATTATGCTACTTTTAACAATATTTTTCTTAAGACTTTTCCAGATCAAAGTTCAGGTTTTTGCTGGATTGGGAATTCAGTAGGGCTTTTTGTCATGGATGTTATCTCTCAAATTAAACTGAATCTATTCTTGTGTTCATAGCATTGCTGGGAAATTCAGGTTCAAAGGGACCTTCCAAGGTCTTTAGTCTGACCTCCTGCTCAAAGCAGGGTCATTTGTGAGGTCAGACCATGTTGCGAGGGATTTTACCTAGTAAGTCCATGAAAGACTTGAAGCAAGGAGACTGCAAAACTATTCTAGGCTATCTGTTCCAGTCATTGAGTGTCCTTATGGTGAAAATATGTTACCATTCTGGACTTCTCTAGTTTGATCATCGTCCCACTGCTTCTTGTCCTGTCACATGTACCGCTATGGTGAGCCTGAATGCTTGCTGATCTCCTTGTAGATACAGACACTTGCTGTTAAGGTCTGCCCAAAGCCATCTCTTCTCCAGGCTGAATCAGTCCAGCTCCCTCTGCCTTTACTCACAGGACAAGTGCACTGGCTCCTTGAGCATTTGGTGGCTACTGTGTCCACGTTCTGGGTGTACTTCTTGTATTGTGGAGGCCCAAAAGGAGGTGCATTAGACCATGTCTGGAATAATAAGCACTGAGTAGAGGTGGCAGTCAGTTCCCTCATCTACTGGCAAGGCTCTTCTTAATAAAGCCTGGGATGCTGGTGACCTTTCCTGACAAAGCACACTGCTGGCACACGATCGATCAGCTTGCTTTGTGCCAAGACCTTTTCCATGGAACTGCTCCCCAGCCACTCATCAGCCTGTATTGTTGCCAGAGCCTCTCAGGTGCAAGTGTTTTGTGTTTGTCCTGTCCGAATTGGTACAAATCCTCTAGGGACCATTGCTCCAGGCTATCTAGGTCCATCTGAATGGCAGCCCTATCTTTAGACTTGTTGATTGATCCTCTTCACCTGAGTTAAACTTTATCTTAAAATTCTGGCTAGAATATACCTTACTGGCCCTGCAAGTCATTGGTAGAGCTATTTAATGGACTTGTCCTATACTCCTGTAGCACTCCACTTGATACCATCCTCCAGGCAGCATACAGCACTTTGTCCTCTGAGCCTGACCAGCCAAATGTTTATCCATTCTCTAGTTGTTTATCCATTCTCAAAAGAGATATTTTCTAGTTAACTGATAGCCAATTCCTTGACCTTCCCATGACTTTTTTTTAGTGTGTTGATGCAATTTATTATTGGCTTTATTTATCAATTAAACCCTACCAATTTTTATTTTGTATATTATGTAGTTTTCTGTGTTCCCAAGTACTTCCTCATGAAGTAATTTTTTTTTTTTTTGTGAACTTCTTGTGAGTGTCTCTGCTGTTGTACTGTATCTTCTACAGTTCTTTTATTGTGCATATTTTAGTCATTTTGGGTACTTCTGTCTACTGTCTGAAGTACAGCAAACTGATATAACATTTCTTAAAGCAGATGGGGTTCTCTAGTCATTTTAAAAGAGATTGTGCCTGGATCTACAATCTTGTTCTTCGCTCAAGTCCTTTATTATTTGTCATTATTTGCCCACTTCTCTTTGAAATGAAACTTTGATAGATAAGCATGCTGGAACTGGGATGTCACTTGTGTTCTTCATATAAAATTCATAATAAAGCAACAGTTCTATCAGCAATACTTCAGTGATTTATCTGTTCTGTGGTGGTCTAAAAGATGTTCTAGTTCTTGGATTTCGTGATTATCATCTAACAAAGTGACTTCCCATTCCTGTGTTTTGGTGGGTTTAAAATCATTGCCTTTTACACTTCCTTTTATTTTTTTAATGATACCTCCTTTTCTACAGCTTCATTGTATTCAATTTCTGTTTTATATGGGAATCCTGTTAGTTTAGCACTAAATATCCATACTAAATGTGCCTCTTTACTCCCAAAGGCTGCATTTCATCTTCCCAGTACTGGCCACAAACTGTTCCCTTGCTTACCATTCCTGAGAATTGTATTTGTCTCATACCAGCAGCAGGCTAAAATACCTCCTGTGTAAGAGTAATTCTTAAACATTTACTCTCACTTACAGAACCATGCTGTTTTGCAATGTGGCCACAAATCTGTAACTATTTTACCTATTGACACACTTTGGTGTTTCAGCATTCTCAAGAACAGAATTAAGTGGAATGGATGTATTTCTCTTTAGCTAGACAAGTGTGAGTCCAGCTGTTAGAGCTCTTGTGAATCAGGTATGGACTGAAGTACAAATAGATTTGTGTATCTGATACGGTGGGAATACATGGATAAAAGTCCAAGTTATTTAATAACTGCAAATAGAAATTTTCTTTTTTTCAAGCATGGCTTTTACATGAAAATACTATTTGGACTGGGAAACATGAGGGTACATGTTTCCAAATGTGAATTTACACATATTTGATTGACTGTCTGTCTTATGGATGTCATTAGCACCTTAGAGTTCCCCACTTTGTCAGTTCATTCATGGTTTTGCTCGGGGCTGTGCCTGGGCAGTCAAATAACATAATTTCTTGTATCCTTGTTAGATGTCAATATTCACATTTTGGGGTTTTGAAAGTATCTTTGATCTGACAAAAGTATTAATGTACAAATGAGTAAACTTGGCTCTTTTGGGGGGAGGGCAGGGGCACAAGGGAAAGTGGTTGATCGATTTTGGTTTGGTTTGGGGGGGGTTATGCCCCTTCAAAGACTGACTAAGCTGTGTTATCTTAACTGACTGATAGTGCTTCTCTCCTCTTTCCAGTTCAATGTAGTGGCATGGATTTGTGTGTGATTATGATTCAGTTCTTTTTTGTGTGCCTTATTGACTCTTGCAGTGGGACCTGTTTGCTGGCTTCACATGAAGTAGAGCATTGCTAACTGTATCTGGATGTTTATATAAAATACTAATTGCATGCATTGAATTTTTATATAAAGAGAAGAATGTTTTTGCTACCTGTGCAAGAACTTCTGGCTGAATTAAGTGATTAAATGAAGAATGCATAATGAATGAATGAGCAAATAAAATGTAATTCTTCTTTCTCTCCAAAGAAATTACTGAAAATCTATGCTAAAATTGATATTTTAAAAGCAAACAATTAAACATAAGACTTCCTTACTGCCCTTGGAATCTTCTAACAAGAGAGCCAAAGGAAATGCCTACCTTATGTTGTCATTGGAACAACATCTATTTGAGGTTTCCTTAGGCCTCTTTTTTACCCTGCTAACTAAGCTGCATGTGCAGTTAAAGTCTTTTTTCAAAGAAAAGTCATTTTTCACAAGAAGTACTGTGCTTTTGCAGCAGTTTATTTCTGTGCTTAATAAGTTTCTTCTAAAATTTTATATTTTTTTCCAGAGATGTTGATAAACCTTTTTTTAATTCCTGTTTTATATGTAGGGAAGAGGTGGTAGAAATTATAAGTAGAATGACAAGGGAAGCCTTTAACAGAACAGAACTTAAAACCTGTGTACCTTGACTGATAGTATTCTGCTATCGCCATTAAACCATTCTTTTTCCCTTGCAAGATTTTTCTGAAATCTGTGCTATGAAATGATACCATAGCAATGGGGTTGGAGATGTACATATGTTGCTAAGAAACTACATGCTCTGTTCTGGACCAGCCACTGTGATAAAGCGGCTGTTTTGAGTTGTTGCATATGAAAAGGGCCACTTTAGGTGATGTGCGTTTTGCTCCACCGATTTCTGACCTGCAATGCTTGCCTTTGCAGATGGAACATGAGGATTTTGTAATGGAGGGGCATGGCAAGACTCCACCTCCTGGTGAAGAAAACAAACAGTGAGTCACGCGTTTATTTAAAAAGGGCCTTACCGTAGTAAATTAAGCACTCTCGTTTAAACGTGCTGGGAGCATTGGTTGGTTGCTTGGTGCTCACACTTTTGATTCCTTAAATATCCACATATGTAAAATAGTGGATGGTGGCTGAAAAAAAAAAAAAAAAAAAAAAAAAGAGGCAGGATGTTGATTTGCCTTAAATGTAAAAGCATAGAAAGATGCATTGCAATTTCAACACATGAATCAGAAATTGTTGTAAAAGGCATAATCATTCTGGAAGCTTGGCACTGACGTAGTGAGTTTGTACATTAATTTTCTATACAGCTGCTCTTCACTGAAGTAATGTGAAGTATGAAAGAACCAGGGCCTTCCTTTTGGTGTGCATATGGCAGATTGGTCCCCTTTGAGCCTTATTTCTTTAGAATTCATTTTAATAAAGGATCAAATTACAAACAAAATGCTCTTTGGAGGCTGAACAATATAAGATGCTGGTACACAGAGCTTTAGGGAAAGCAGCTTGATCGGAGAAGAAAATGACTGGTTTCTGTTAGGAAAAGGCTTTTTCATATGATTTCAAACTGAAATCTAGTACTGGTTGGACTTTTTCTCTGGGTTTTTGTTCAGATAGGAAGAAGAGGGCCTTGTCCTAGAAGTACTTCAGTGATGGCTGTATTCTGTATGGTCTTCATTAGTTAATGCAATGGTAATTCAGTTTTGATACTGTAATTAATTTTTTTCTTTTCCTGTCATTTGGAGCAAGCAAGAAGGTGGTCTTTGGAAAATCTAGATCACATAGCTCTTTTTTCCCTAAGCCTAATTGGATGTCATCTCATGAGAATTTCTTGTTAATCTGCACTACACTTGTTGCAGAAAGGCTGGGATGTGACTTGAGGTGAAGGTCTACTTTGCCTCCTAGATAAGCTGGCAACTCTCAGTGCACAGCTTCTGTGACAGTGAGAAACCATTTCTGAAGTAGGCAAGTTGAGGTCAGCAGAGTTCTAGTGCTGAACATGCACATTCTTTCCATCATGGACATGAGCCAAACTTCTCAAAGTAATTGTTGTTACTTCTATCTATTCAGATGGAGCAACTTACTGTGGTACCAAGAGATACAAAAGTTGTTGAAGTAGAAACTTCCAGAAAGTTTCAGAAGAAAAATTCGAGCAGAAATAAAAAGTAGGAGTTAGATTTCTGCTCTCCTGAATTGTTTCTTTATGTATCTAGTCATTTAATGACATACATTATTACAATGAGTAATATGAGGGATGTTGTATTTGATTTGCCATTGCCTCGTGTTTGTTAGGTGTCTTATTTTAAGTGCAAGTGGAAACTAGAATTACTTTACAGTTGATCTGATTTTTAACTGGAGCTTTTCAAATGGCTTAAAACATTATCTCTCTTCTTGAAAACTCTGGTTATTAAAGAATATGAGATTAGTGATAGGCAATATTTTTAATTCTTAACTAATAAATTTGTGTTCAGGTGGCATCTAGAACCTTGTCATACAGATTCTGCTGTAGGAGTGTAATTCTTAATAATATTTTGATTGAAGTCTAAAGGTGCAATTTTAGTAATGCAACAAAGAAGGTAGTTGTTTTATGCAACTAGTAGCATAATGCCAGCAAAATTTAATTGTGGGTATTGCTCTTAAATTTAAATCAATCACTTTAATATTTTTCTACCCATAGTATCAAATTTTAAGCTAACTAACAAAATTGTCTGCCTTGACAGAGTTTACCTCTTGTTGTAAGAGGAGAAAGAAAAAAATCTGAAATTATTTCTTTGTAGTATTACTTACTTGCAGTGGGAATTAGCTGGACATCAACATACTGGACTGGGTTTTTGAAAGAGGACAGAGGGGAGCTCTGGAGCATCTGGCAGAGGAGAAGCAAAGAAGACTGTGTCTGTTTAGCCTTGAGATAAGAAAACTGGGGAGGATATTATTATTCATGTGTCTATCTGATGAGGAGACTAAGGAAGACTGAGCCAAATTCTTCACAGTGGTGCCTGGTGGAGAGGCAAGAAGCCATTGGCATAAACTGAAATACAGGAAGCTCCACTCAAACACAAGGGAAAAATGTTCTTTTTTTACTGTTAAAAATGGTCAGACCTTTAGAAGAGGTTACCCAGAAAAGTTGTGACCTCTAAGTGACTCAAAACTCAGCTGAGCACAACCCCAATTCTGCTTCAACCTGCTTTAGTTAACCATGCCTTGAGCAAAGGCATGGGATTGATGGTATCAGAGATCCATCCATCTGCAGTGATTCTGTGATTTGTTGTACCCATATCTACTGTTATCCTCCTGGTTGGTTTGAAATAAAATTGGAGCTTCTTAGTGAAAGGTAGGTTCTAAGTTTGAATGTAGAGTCAGATGTTCTCCACAGAAATAGCTGATCCACTGAAGATGCTTCCTTCCCTTTCCAGCTGTCATTAGACTTAGTAGAATTTACTGCCTCTACAGCTATGCAGATGGAATGGTTTTTCTTTGACTACTTCTAATTTACTTTTCAGGAAAGTTTACCATTGTAATTTAATTGTCTTTCGTTAGGCAGCCTGATCTGGGTATCTCTGCACTGGGATTATTGAGGAAGTGTTCAGAAGATACGGTTTCAGCAAGGGAGCAAACTTGCACCGGAGCTCCAGAGCAATCTGCTAGTATTGACCTCCTAGGAAAGCCCTGCAAATTTCTTACTATTTGTCTGCATTTCAATGGGCTCAAAACTTTACCGGACAATGAAAGAACCGAAATAAAAAGATACTTTTGAGAGACTTTTGATGGATGCAATAGTTCTTACCTAGGCCCTGTTTTATGTGGTATTTCCTTTACTAAAGTATAGCTTCAAAACTGAATATAAGGAGCCAGCATCCATGGATGATGTCTGGCACTTTATGAAACAGATTTTTTCCCCAGTTTGACTTGGAGATAAAAACTTGGCATTTTTGCCTTGTAGTATTAAACAAAGATACAAAAATGCAAACAAACCCAGCAACAACAAACAACCCTGCTGTAATGTTGTGAGCCCTTTCTACTGTACTGGACAGTTCTTTTGGACAGATACTAAAGTTACAACATTTTTTAAGACTTTTAATTGAGCTGTAGGTGATACCTGAGAAATGCTGTCTTCTGATAGCTGTCACCTTTATAGGAAGGAATTACCTGGTTAAACTGTATACAAGGTCTTCAGAAATCTTCAACTGATCTTTCACAGTATGGATATAACTTATTTCAATTTAAGCTAATTATGATGAAGTTACCTATTCAAAATCCTTAGTACAAGTGAGAAAGTGAATGGGCACAGTCATCTCAGTCCTGTGAAAGATTTGCATCTATGTGCAGTGCATATGTCACAAAAGATGTCATGGTTGTGCAGCAGTCAAGTGATGTATGCTAAAAACTGAACTTCAGAAGGAGTGAGCCTGCTGGGACTGCTGGAGCAGATCATGGCCATCTCACACCTTGCTCCTGCTCTGGCTGAGGACCAGTGACTCCTTGATAAATTGTTACTTCTCAGTTTTTATGTACTCTGTAACCTCCCTTCTTAGCTGTCTGGCATGGGATATCACTGTGTGTTATACTTGGTCACATTATTTTTTTTATGTGGACAATACATTTGGTAAGAATGTTTCCTTCCTTCCTTCCCAATAGAGAAAAATTACATTATGCTTAATTACAGGTGAACATTTTGTTAGAGGTGTTCTCTCATATTTTCATCCATTACAACAAGGTTGACCTGAACTGGCATGCTTAGGGAGTAAATACTCCCCCCACAAAATACTTACGTTTTACATGGCATCATCCTATTGTGCCCTTATCAATTGTAATAGGGCTTTTACTTTGCTACTGCTGGAGCAAAGATTAAGAGGAAAATGTGATCCAGAGACATCTTTCCAAAACAGTCAAACTTCTGTTGATGAGCATGGGGCAACCACCGGGGCAGGAAGAAGAATTCTGCTCAAGTCCTTAAATTGAGGTTCTGCTCCTGGCTCTAGCAGCATTAATTAGCAACTCTCCTTGTGCTAATAAATTACCACCTGCTGTCATAACCAGAAATGTGTGCACCTTAATGAGTGAACGGGACTGGGTAGTGAAAAATTATTCCTTTTTATAAGATAAATGTAAATGTTTTACTCTTCCTAACTGACACATGGAGAGGTCTGTTTGACAGTAGCAATTCAGACAAAAAGTGAGCCAAATTCTTACTCACATCTGGTAGGAAGGTAAGCCAAGCTGCTCCTGCTGTTTGAAGTACCTCAGCTGGCTGTTCCCTATCTGCTTTTTTGTAGTAACGGGAGAGAAAAGTCTTCAACTATCTTGACAATTTGTACATCTGGAAGTGATTCACATTGTAAGAAAGGTATCAAAACAAGATAATTTCTGTAATTTAGAAAGTTAGATCTACTGAATAGGCTTTTCCCTGGCTTGATAGTTTAATGTACAGATTCTGAGGCAAGTGTTTTTGATGAAACCCCCCAAAATTGTACTAATGCCAGGATAAGATTGCAATCACTGAGCATCACAAAATTGTTTAACATTTGGTACTAGTATCTTATTTTTCTTTGATATTTCAGCAGGAAGGTTCAAGGTCTTCTTGGATTTGTGTGACACTATAGTTAAAAGAAAGTAGTAGCTAAATTGACCTAACCTGCAAAGAGGAATTACAGACTCCAAAAATCATCTTGTCCAATACCATGCCCAAAGAGGGGGGCAGATTTGAAGGTTAGATTTAACTTCTAAGTGGTATTAGGCTTTTCAGGTTTATTCGAGAGCTTTTTTGGACAGTCTGTTGCAATATTAAGCACCCTCACAGTGAAGAAAACTTCCTAATGTTCAGTAAGAATTTATGATCATTGCTTTTCATCTTTGAATGTGTGTATCTGAACATGGCCCAGTCTTCATTAAAACTTGCCACTGTGTTCACTTAGCAGAATAGCTTCCCCCTCCCCCTCGCTTAGTTTTGCTGTATGGAAACTAAGTGAAATCAAGAAGCCAGTCTACAGGCTAGTCTTTGTTTTCAGCAAGCTGCTATGTCAAGGGCACGTGTAAACATCACTGCTCTAATAGCACAAAAGAACCTATCTTACTCTTTCATGGTGTTGCTGAAAACTATAAAAAGGCTCCAGTGGTATATCCTGAAGTTGTCTGGTTT